AAGATACTAAATAAAAACCCGAAAGAACTACGGATGCTGTAAATCAGAAACAAAAACAGAAATTGCTGAAAAAGCTCTGCAGCATCTGTTGAGGGAAAGCAGAGTTAACATTTTGGGTTAATGACCCTTCCTCAGAACCCTGACACCCTTCTCAGGAAGGGTCACTCGAGTCGAAACATTAACTCTGATTTCTCTCCACAGATGCTGCCAGACCTGCTGAGCTTTTCCAGCAATTTCTGTTTTTGTTGTTGCATGTGAGGGAGATATTGGTGGGAAGGGGGATATTAAAGTAAACATCACAGAATTTCACATTTTCATTCCCACTTCGTAGTATGGTCTTATACAGTGGCCTTGGTGAATATGGACTCTTCCCATAGCTGTGTATGTTGTATGCTGGGGTGGGGGGGAAGGGGGAGAGATGTTTGGAATGGATGTATTGGTGGGGGTGAAATACATGCATTTTTTGACCAAACTTCCCTATCCTCCCACAAAACCTTTATATTAAATGCTCGTCAGAAGTTACACACAGACATTATGAACTGAAGCACCTCTCCACCTCTCGGTGCTGCAGTTTGCACTTTGCCTAAGGTTCACTGATCCCTTGTCAATCAGCTGGTGAAAGGGGCCTGGAGTTGGAGGGTGTTGGTGGAAGTTTAATCAGGGAGAATCAGAACAAAGCAATGCGTGTACTCTCTGTTCCATGCAGCAAACTGCAGATTCAGTCAGACCAATGTCAAGCATCGCACGAGGTACAGCCTTTGGGTGCTGTGTCTATTCCTATTGCAGAGGCCAATGTGAGGAACATACCATGTCAAAAAGGTTGGGGGGGAGCCTTAGGGTTTCCAGTGGGAAGTCTCTCTCCAGTATTGAAAGGCTTCAGCATTGTATTCCACTTCTCTGGAGTAATTACAGGCCTGAATTTAAATTTTAGCAAGAGAAGTAACCAAACGAAGCGATTTGTAATATCTTGGGATGGAGATTTAAATAATTCATATTCCAAATTTGATCATGTTGGAGAAACTGGACACCAAAAGAATAGTACTTTTATCCCAACAGTCAGAACTGGATTTTATGGTATTTTGTATTGAACATCCGCTTGACAATTTAGTGCACTTTTAAACATGTGGGCTCCTTTCTGGACTATGTAGGGTTACTGATTGCAGCTGCCTTTTGGTACATTTTCCAGCACATTTTCTTTACCAGACCGTGAAGTTCTGAGAAATTATTCAGCGACAAGAGGCATCATGGCCAAGCCCGGCCTTGACCTCTCCCAGTGTCTACACATCATATTTCCAGCAGGGTGCGCTAGGTAGCAACCAGAAGCTGGTCAAAATATCCCTTTCCTGCATCTGATGCATTTCCAAAGCCCATTTGATCTGGGTGTAAGTCCCAGGAGATTTGTGGCTGCATCTCATTGCAATGCAAATAAACATTTCCCTAGAGTGGGGTGGGAGCAGGGAAAGTCAAGAGAATTGAGTGCTTTTCATAAAAAAAATTGACAGATGGTCAGAGGAGGCAAGAACAGTCCATCACCCCCAGGTGCATTTATCAAATTTGAGAAATGCGCAGATAAAATAGAAACTCAAAGGGTCTAAAACTGCAAGCAAGGCAGATTCGACAATAAACTCCTCACCCAGAGAGAGTAATTGGAATTGGATTTATATTTAAAACCGAATAAGTTGCAGGAATTAGACTTTCAAAAAAAAAGGGCTGGCAAAGAGTGGCAGGGCCGATTGGCCTCCTCCTAAAAATGAAAGGTTTCACCTCACATCA